TGAAACAAATAACACATCATTAACTTCCCCTTTGGAAATTAAACAATACCAAAGAATCTTTAATTCAGATATTTACWGATTTCTTGGAATTACTATGAACAAATGAAGTGAGGGCACATAGTGTTTATATAGTTGTACTTCTGTTCCATGGAGATCATAACATTTGACCAGAGGGATAGTTTTATGAAGGTGTTTGGCTATTATTAATAGAGTACCACAAATGCCCTTTAATAATCACAAAATATGGAAACCTCAAGAACCAAAATCAATAAGTGGAAATGATGACAGTGGCAAATTAGTAATCCTATTGAAATTTTCCAGAGAAAGGAACTTCGCATGGAAATGGAAACTATTGCAATATTCATGGGACAAAGGGAGTACATGATTTGTTCAACCAGTAAACGCGAACATAAGAGGGGATTTATTAGCTTTAGGTGCCAATTGCTTGCCCTGATWAGACCCGTGTTCCCTAGTCATATTTATGCAACAAAATTTCTTTTAAGATAAGAAGACTAAAGAGGAACCTTTTTCCTCCATCTTCTCAAATGCTGAAAGAGCACTGCTTGTATTGACATTCCCCAACATTTCAGTTACTTTTGTCGCGGTCCTGGAGGAAGAAAATGTTCCCACATACATTAAATTCCAATAAAAAAAATCAAAAAGTGACAACATAGGGAATGAGAACAAACTTTGCAGATTGTGCACGTGCTTTCAGAGTATCTTTCTTTGACTTAGCCTCTTGTATCTTGCTTTCGAGAAGCTGTTAAGAGAAAGGCATGCACTCAAACAATAATGTACTGGCCAATAGTGAAAAACTGATGCATGCATTTAAAAATGATGAATATTTGCGCAAAGCATATGATGCATATCTTGAATACAGCAAGACAAATATAAGATATATAATAAGTAATACCCACCCGAGTATTATTCACAAGATTATCCACGACACCTTTCTGTTGATCAAGTTGAGTCTTCAAAGAAGCTGCATTGTCCTGTAGAATAATCCAGTGTGCAARTAGAGAAATTTAGATCTGAAGTTATATGATGACATTGACACATAACTGTAAATATGCAAAAGATTTGATAGAGATCACATATCTCAAAACCACWCAGGTTGTATAGTCAAGATTTCTAATGGATGAATAGCACATCCTTTTACCGATTTATTTGTGATTTTAGAAAMGGTCTTTCTTTAATAAAAAGAACTTTTACCAACTATGTTAATGGGAATAGTTAAAACAACACTAACCTTTTTGTTCAGAAAGATAACTTTCCATTGTATGGCCAAAAGACTTGATAGAGATCACAACCGTCACTAGTTTTATTTCATAGTTTTTTTATTCCAGTTCTCTTGTAGTCTTGTTTTAGTTATCTTATCTTGTTCCTCATGGGCCCTACTTAAAAGGGCATATTATTCCGGTTATGAGTTAGAACTACAGAAGCAATTCCCCAAATCTCCAGTTCTTTTTTCTTCCATATTTCTAACCCTAGTTTGTGTTGCATCAAGATTACTTGATTCAGATAGTCTTCTGAAGCTATAAAGACCCTCAAGATATTAGAAACTATGCTATTAAAGCGGTCAAAATAGGAAATCACGGTCAGGACCATGACTKGAAATAGCGGTTATCGAGATGGAAAAGCAGTAGTATAGCGGTCTAGAAATAGTGGTTCATATAATAAGTACAAATATACATATATACATAACTCACCATGTTATACGTATTCAATAAAGAAATATATATATATATATATATATATATATATAAAAGAATAATGATGTCCAAGTCAAAATAAAATAATTGAACATGTGAATGCTTTTATTCAAAGCCAAAAGGTCAAAGTGATAGTGTACAAATCCAACAAAATAAGAATAATGGTGTCCTAGTCCAAAAAATACAAGAATAATGAAGCTTTAATATTGTTGGACTTGAATAAAATCCAATGCAGGTTTCCAAAATAAAAGCCCACAAAATTACTTTTCTTTCCTATCTACAAATAGTGGTTATGTGGCAGCTTTTTTGCCTTCAAGATGCGGTCATTKAGAGGTCAATAGCGCTGTTAATCGCGGGACAGCTATTTGATCACGGCTATTTATCCCATAACCATTAACCGTGATAGCACTGCYATAGCGGTGCAATWAACAACATAGATTAGAAAACAACACTCAAGCCCTCAACAACCATCCAADTTTTGACTTTCCTTTTGCAATTTAAGGATCATATTCTTGTTACCCTCAAGCTGTGAGAAGGTTTTAAAATGCATGTATGATGAAAAAACTTCTAGTTTCAACAGTTCTTATGTTTTTTTCCCATCCCATGAAAATTGCAATATGCTTCTTTCTAGGGTTTCATGAGCTAAGTAGTTACTGCAGAGCTAAACTGGAATCGCTGTCAGGTTTTTTAGTTGCTATATAGGAAGAAGTGGTGGTATAGCGGTAAAATAATGCAGTTCATGTAATATACATACATATATATATGCAATACAGCAGTACATAAATATATGTAATACATATCTAATAGTAATATGCAATAAAAGCACTACATTATGCGCTATCTTTTGAATCAGAAGGTGGATTGGTCCCAGCAAGGCTATCTGTCTACTTGGCTCTGGTTGTAGGCCTTTCGCTTTGGGCTATCTTCTTTCTCCTCGTTCTTGGGACCTCCCCACTAAAAAAAGAGGTTGAGAATCTCRAGAACCTAAACWATTCACTTCTATGAAAGACTTTCAAGGGAATTGTCAAAAGTTTACATTTTRCAGGTGTCCCCCTCTCCCATTATTAATATATTGGATAGATGAAAAACACAGAGTTCATGCGAATGGGTGATTGTATAAAAGGTAAAGCATCATTCTTTTTTAATTTTATTTCTAGAAAAGTGRGATCTCATTTGGAACATCCAAAGGAAAGGACACCTAAGTACATTATTTTCATAAGTTTTCTTCTTTAACTAAAATCCTACATAAGGCCCACACAGGCTGCCATGTACCATGGTCATCTTTTACACAAACCATGTTGTGATGATAGTCACCCAACTCTAATAAGCTCAAATTCAACTCTAAATAACATGGAGACATAATTTAGATTTCATTTTATCATCATAAGGGTAGGCACATTTTAATATATAATAAGTATCAAAGCACTATGATCTACAACACTAAGAAAATGGTTCCAAGAGATAGAATCAAATCTTACAGCATAAGATTTACGTCKCTTTAAGGCTTCACGTGCAAGATCCTCATCTCCCTTACCCAGAGCAAGTTGTGCTCTTCGATACCTATAGAATTCAATTAAATAAGAACGTTATCTGGAACAGTCACCCCAGTTTGTTTATAACAGTTATTATCCAGTCACTTACCAATCCTCAGAAGCTTGCTCTGCAGATTTGTATTTGTTCTCCATCCGCTTTTGAGATGCCAAAACCTTCACAAGGGAGAAGACAGACAAAATAGTTGATTTGAGTGACTTTAGTTTCACATCCAGTCCAAGAGTAAAGACAACCAGAAATGCATACTTGGGCTGTAGCTTGACGCATCTTTATTAGATCATCATTCATTTCTGTAACAGCTTGCTCTAAGATCTTTTCTGGGTCTTCAAAGGTGCTAATGAGTGCATTTGCATATGACTATGCTTGTAAGAGATCAGAAAGAACGATTCAGTAATTTAGTAGTGTGTGATCRAAAATCAAGGCCAACACGCAAAATATATGGCACAAATATCGCAATAACCTTGACAACTCGTGTAAAACGGTCAAAAAGATTCATCCGGATCCCACCATGGCTGTTACATCGCGTGCTACTAGGGTGAGCTAGCCTCACTCCTCTAACCTTTAGGGCTCCAACTGCAAGACCAATGAGATAATGAAAGCAGCATGAGAATTTKTGCTCATTTTCAGCATCATAAAGAAATGAACACATAAAGCGAGAGGCTACAGAGGTAAATGGATGCACACGTTTATCATTACAAGAACTTTAAATAGATGAAATCGTAAAAGCTGTAACATTGCTTCAGTCGAGAAACCAATATCATAATACAAAATTGGACTTTGATGTTACACAGATAAGAGAACGTAACTCTAACATTTTTAGTGGTCGTCCTTTGAAAAAGATAAATATATGAACATAATCTACATTGATAAGGATGCAAGCAATTGAACATTAATAGTATCAAAACTTAAAACAGCATGAGAATACTTAAAATATTTTCTTGATCCTAAGTTATAAGTCTCAACAAGATCATAGTTCATTAAGAGAGATTCCTATACGGTTGATTCTCAAAAGTCAAAAACATCCATGCCATGAGAGCAGATGCTGAAGAAAGAAGTTCAAAATATCATAACAACAAGATACTTGCCCGTCTGAATAAACTTTTCCAAGGGGTTCCGGTCCCCTTTATAAAAAGATAAAGGTATACTTGCCCACAAAGTTTGGAAAAGCATGAAAGGTTGAAACCTTCAAAAMATTTATATGTGCACCATATGGAAAAATCAACCCAAACAGCCTTATTAACCATGAGAAGAAAGGTGCGGTCATTCTTGTACATTAATGGCAAAAAATAACTTGCAAGGATTTGCAGTAATTTAAATACTCAACAGATTAAAGATCAAAAGAAGATAATAAAATATTATAGATAATTATACACACAACTATTCTATTCATCCTAAAGAGCATAMACCTATATATCTGTTTGCTTGAGCATTCCCCAAAAACAGCAGCAGTTTTTCCTACAAAACATATCCTTTAATTGTGCTTTAAGTTTCAATCGGTGTATATGATTTCAAGCAATCTTGAAACACATCGTAAAATTTAAAGACWCGTCCACAAAGGTGGGATACTTAAACCACTAAAATTTCAGAAACAAAAATGTCCAAGAGCACCCCCTCCTGAGTTTAGGAGAGATGGAATTGACAAACATTTAAACGGTTTTTCACTCCAATCGAGTAACCTTATCAATCACATAGAAAAACACACAAATACTGAATAATAGAGGTTTATATTTGACACACCAGAAGGTTAAGCTAATGGATTTTGTACAGGGATATGTTATAGCATCACGAACCCGTATTCTGGTTTATGATTATATTAAATGCTCATAAAAGTTTGAAATGGGTATGTGTGTATTAATCGGTAAGATACCTCCAGAACCAAAGAACGAAGTTCTGCAAGTTGAAACCCTGCAAACTCCAATTCTGCTAGAAGAATCCTGTAATGTTGTTGAAGCGATACTTAACCCTGCAACAGGTGCTCTTAATGCCATTGTATTCTGTGATGAATTCAAACAAAACCCACTCAAGTTTACAACAAATTATATAGTTTCCATCAACCAAAAATCCCAAATTGTAAACAGGTGGAAGGATTCTTATATACAAAGAGAGAATCGATCACAACTGGGGTTTCCTGCTGCTGATCTACTCTGTTTTGGGGGTTTCTACTTGTGGTGGTGATTGCATTCCGACCTTCTTTGGGTGCGATGSGTTGAGGAGAGACGTGATGAGCCGYATTGGCCCAGTGTGCCCATTTTGTTAATCAAAGGCCCAAACAAAATCCAACAAATTATACATGTATCTTTTTTTTCTCTCGAAATTGGTATCGTAACTTTTTTAAATGAAGTGGGTGATTTACATAAACACTTATCTCTTAAGTATTTATCAATAAAATTCAACGTTATGATTATTTATTGGCTAAGATTTTCATCAACAAAAACGATATCATATGCAACAATTTATCCAACAAGCTTTAACCATGGTAAAAGTCGTTGTTCTCACTTACCGGGTAAGACYCTCGGTCCTTACCTTCATTCTTWYSAGGAAAGATTCTTGGTTCTTGTCATATTCATCCGGTAAGGTAATGTGACGTGATAAACGCTTATACCCTTAAATCATGTTGCAAGTCTGTATACAATATTTTTAGTTTATGTTTGGCAAACTAGYTGATAAGGYAACTGATTGCTGATAAGTTAGTTGATGACAGATAARCTAGCTGATGAGCTAAATACGTTTGACAAAAACTAATTGATAAGCTAGTTGAAWAAGTAAAATGACAAAAAATGACATGTTTAAATTTAATAATTTTAACAATTCAYAGTATATTTARAAMAAATCACTAATAATATAATGTAARTTAATACAAATMAGATGATAAAGAAAATTAAATAATAAAATATGTTRATTAATATATTTCAATTTGATTTACTATTACTATATATATAGGGGGTAAGGAGGAACTCGGTAATTTATGATAATACATGAGATCCAATCTTAACCACAAAACAAATATTAAATTTRAAAATTAATAATTTTGGTAATTTTAACTTAAGATATTAATTAAGGATATTTTAGGAATTTTAAAAATCTTCTATCTCTCCTCTCTCTTTTTTCATCGCTCCAACAAACCTTATTCTGACGAACTTCATATGAATACAAGGTACACATTGTGATACCTAAAATAAATTCATTAAAAAAAATGAATACAAACGATATTCGTTATGATACCTAAATATACACACAAKATGCATATTGTGATACTTCTGTAAAGCAACAAAAATAACATAAATACACATTGTGATACTCTTTGCAAAGCAACGGAAATAACGAACATGCACGACATGATACACTTCATAAAACAACAAAAATAATTGTGATACATTATGAATGTTATCTCTGTGATAAACTTTAATCCACAAACATCTTTAAAAGACAATATATATTACGTAATTAATATATTAGGTAATTAAAATCCATTAAATGTTTCCTTTCAAAAATAATTAATTAAATCTTTTAATTAATGTTCTAAGTAAAATTA